AAACTCTTTTTTTGCAGAGGATTGAAGAAAACAAACTTTAGCCTTATCATATATCAAAGCATAGATAAACAGCCACTCAATCATGACCATTTCTGGTCTATAACAGCCATAATATATCTCAAGAAATACACTTGCATAATGCATTTCTATATATATTCATCATAAATATATATATCTAAGAAAAAACTCACTCCATATTATATGGGTAATAAATTGCCAAGGATAATGACCTCTAAGCCTAATTAAGAGATCTCAAATTCAAAGCAGTGTTTGTGGAACAGATCATTAAACTCTCCACAACAAACACTCACACTCTAATCTATTATCTAAAGTAGGATTAGGGGACCAAAGTTTATATAATTAAAGCTAAAAAGAAAAGAAGAAAAAAAAATGCAAATCCACACATTTTAGTGGGATTCTTTGAAAGAGAAAACAAATCAAAAGACCATTCATAATTAACTAGGCCTTCCTATGGTTTCTCTTTGACCTTGTCTTTCCTAGAATTCACTAACTAATTAATTTCTCTAAGCCAACTTGCACTGTGATCTTCTTTTTTCTAATCCTGATATGGGATTATGGAAAAAGAGAGATCTGCCTGTTTGGAATGATTACATGTTGCAGGTCAATAATGAGGATTGATGAAAAACCTTTTGATGCTTTGGGGAGGATGGAGATGCGGGGTCCGCCGCTCTCCTCTTGTTGATGCCGGAATTCAAGCGCGGTGAGGAGATTGTGACCGGCGGAATGTCGCCGGCGCTCAGCTGAGGGGGCGGGTGCTGCCACCGCGGGAGAGGTCCGGCGAGGAGGAGCGTCTGGAGCAAAGGCCCCGCTTCCAGCACCGCCTGCAGGAACTTCCCCTTCTCAGGCAGGGGGAACTTCGCAGCGATCACTTCCTCCGGCGGCGGAGACGGCGGCGGCCTCACCGGATCCGCGACGGCGACGATCTCCTCGGAATCGGAGGAATTGCAGAGCGCATTCTCCAGATCTTCGTTCGTCGGCGGCGTCCCGCTGCAAGTATTGCTCTCCGATTTCCCGATCTGCTGGCGGAGCAGCAGTTTCTCGAACCCTAGCCGCCGGCACCTCTCCATGGCTTCATCCCTCTCCCGCACAAATCTCGCCACCAGATTCCTCAACTGCAAAATCTCTTCATCTTTCCTGGTAAGCTCTTCCTGAGCACTCAGAATCGTGTTCTCCAGCTCCAGAGTGGTGTACAACAGAGAATGTTTCAGCTCAATTTCCTACCCATTCCATAAACACAAATTCCTCTCAATTAAACAAAACTCAAACAGCAATAATGATCCATGAAGCAAAAATCAAAAGTAATTAAGCAAGATCAACCAGTAATTAGTGAGTACCTCTTCATGGAAGAAGAAGAGAGGGCTGCATTGGTCTTCCATTATAAGCGGTGTGGGAATGGAAGAAGAAGAAGATTGGAGGGAAGAAAACATAAATAAAAAAAATGAGAAGTAAGAGTGTTTGGTTTTAGTTTTAAGGGAAGGGGGTGAGCTTGATTACTTACTTATCCAGGCTTTATTTAAATTAAGGGTTAGTCCCAAAAGTTGTAAATTTCATTCATGTTCCCACCTCACATAGATTTATAGATACTACTCCTACTATATATTCCGTATCCGTACTACTCGCATATCTATTTGATTAAGAGAGTTTAATTTCACCTATTTTTTTAAAAAAAAAAATTAAAGTAAAATGTGACTAAATGAAAATTATTAGAAGAATTAAGACATGTTCTCTACACATGTTCTAATTAGTTCTGATCTGATTGAAATAAATTTATTTCTGATCTGACCTAATTGTAGTTATATTTAAAGCTATCCTTGATCTGATCTAATTTCAATAAGAATAAGTAAGTAAAATTTGCACTAAATAGGACTAAAACATAATGACTTTCCCAATGTAAGACTTAAACTTTTTTATTCTCTAAATAGGACTTAATAATGATCTAGTGGAAGGAATAATGTCCGGTAATGATGGACATTTACTTGAATAATGACTACTTGATAATGACCAAAAGTCCTACATTAGGAAATAAAAACATACGATCCTATATTGGGAAAGTCATTATGTTTTAGTCCTATTTAAGTAAATTTCTCAACAAGTAATGGGTAAAGTAGTAAACTAAAATAAGTTGAGAAAAACATGTCCTTAAGTCCTGAACTTTATTTCCATGGTTACTTAATATATGATCCTTCAAAAAAACGTGTGGATCGTATATCTTTTACTTTATTAAAAAACTATTGTAGAAAACAATTTTATTTTTATAGAGACGGCTAAAAAAAGAAAGTGTATAAATTCAGTAGGGAAGAATGAAATTTTCATTTTTTTGTAAATCATGTTTTAGAGAACAAAAATTTAATGGATAACCCTTGAAGTAACCCATCTCGGGCAATGAGTTGTGGTTCCATGATTCTAAAATTTAGATGTAAATGTAGATATTCTCACACTTTTAATAAAGCAGTATGGGCATCTTTTTTTCCCAAGGATCCCAATTCATTCATGCATGTTGTTAATATATTAAGGTTCATAAAATAAATGTGAACTGCAAAAGAATTTGCCCTTGGGGTTTTATGTTCTCTATCTCTTTAAATTAAATATTCTTTTCTTATACCCCTTCTATCTCATATCTTTCTTTTCATTTTGACTTTCTTGGTCAAATTTTTTAATTAAATTCTGATTACAAGTTATGAAAAAATATACTATCTTCGTCTCTGAGTATCTGTTCAATTTAGATTTTTTGTAGGAAACTATTTCAACCTTTGACCTATAATTTAATAAAATTTATAAAGTTTATGGATTAGATAAGACAATATTTTGAAAATAAAATATAAAAAATCTGGTAATATTATTTTTATATCAATATCTAATATAAATTTATTTTAATTAGTGCTCAAAATACGTCAATTTTGAATGCATAACTGGACAAATATCCTTGGACAAAGGTAGTTAAGAATTGTGATAAAAACTTAATATCAATTGGTTCATTACAAAACATTTTTTTCAAATATCATTTTTTTATTTTATATTAATATATAAATAGAGATATTAATGGTCGAAGTATTGCATAGAATATCACAGAAGGTCAAATGGGAATTGAAGAAAGATATGAGACGGGGGAAGTTTTTTTTTGCACAATTTGAGTTTTATTAAATTTAAAAAATAAAAATAGTATTGAAAAATTTAAATTGTATGGCTAGAATTTGTTTGTATGAGAGATAAATAGAGTGAGACACACGTTAATTCCAAAAAAAATTGAAAAGTATTCTTTTAACTGTCAAAAAAAGAAATTTGCTACAGATTTTTGTTGGGGGAGGAAGCACAAATATTCATGCTATCTCTAAGCGCGCGTTTGGTTGGGAGGAAGGGAGTGATGGAATGGGAAGGGTTGGGAGAGTTTTCTTTCACCTTGTTTAATTTGATTAGAAGGATGGAAAGTATTAGTTTTTATTTTAATTTTTTATATTTTTAATTTTTATTTTTCATTTTGATTATTATTTATTATTATTATTAGTATTATAAATATTATTGCTATTATTATTATTACTATTACTATTGTTGTTGTTTTTGTTGTTATTATTACTATAATAATAATAACTAATAAAATCATTAATATTATTGATGGATACCCAATATTTTCCCAAGGACTGTAGATCGGCCCAGGTCCAAATATAGGTATCCGGGCCTTATAATATTGAAAGATAATACGAGAATAATAATTAATAGTAATGGAAGCACTGCTCACTGGATAATAACTCAAACCGGCGGTCCTCTCAGGAACGGAATATGCTTAAGGATTGCCGGAATATCTTTTATTATTTACTCAAGTATTTTCTCTCTTTATTACAAGATATCCCTTCTCCTCTAGTCTCCCTCTCTTTTATAGGCACTTCCCTCCACTATCCCTTTCAATAATGGCAGTGGTCAGGGGGAATGTTCGTGCCAGCCTGCATCTTCTGGGAGGAATGTATCTCCACTTGAGGCCGTCCACTGGAGGACAAACCCTTCCGTCCATCTCTTGCTCCCTGTCCTTCGTCCGTCTCTTTCTCCTCGTCTTTGTCCCTTCAAGTGGAAGGGGGGGCTCCCAAACTCCTCATAGGATTCCTCAATTCGTGGGTAGCTTATCCTTAATGGGCTTCAGCCCATCCTTAAGCCCCACTTCTCTTCCTTTTCCTATCTTTCTCTACGGACAACCTTCCTTTGACCGGTCCGATACATTTTACCTGGGCCGGATGCTCCTTTCGATGGACGGGATTCGAATTGGGCCTAGGCCCAATTCGTTAGTATTCTCTCGATGGGCTTGGTTCCCATCACATGCCCCTTTTTTTACATGTCAAAAAATAAAAAATTTTTTGACTGTAGTCTTCCTCGCATGCTTCCTTGGAGAGTTTCTCCTCTGTCTTCTTTTCATTTTCTAACGAAGATTCTCCTTTTGGGGAAGACCCCAAGGTTTAACTTGTATTCACTCCAGATGATATTCCCCACAGTATGCCCATGCGGGCCAGGATGTATAATTGGTTGGGTGAACTACTTGTGGCCACACACGGTTCTGTCCAATGGCTGCTTGGTCATGCGAACAGTCCCTGCACACCAATAATGGTGGACCGTTTGTAGAGGAATAAATTGGGCGTGGACCGTGTGCATGGGAAAAGGCACGAGTGGACCTCTGGGAGTCCGTGCCCCTTTAATATCCATGGCCCACCTTTCCAAGCCATTTTTGACCGGTCCCTCCGACTCCCTTAATTGCTGCATAGGACCGTTCTACTGCGCACAATTCAAAGTCCCCACCCTTCTGTTATTGTGGGACCGTAGCAGGAAAAAGGAAAGTAACAGAGGACCGCAGGTCTGGGAAATCGGCAGAGTGGTCCGTTTGGAGTTAATGCTCTTGATCCGAATCTTAAGGTTGCCATTCTCTTTTCCAGGCGTCCCTTTACTGCCATTGGACCGTTTCGAAACAGGTGCCATTCAAAATTCTTACCGTTGCTGGATCTCCAAGGGTTGACCGTTTCTTCTTCCTCTTCTCTTTCTCTATAATACGGTCCCTCTCCTTTCTCACGCTCACACACAACTCTCTACTTCCCTTGCCTTTATCCCCGCCGAATCATCCCCTCTCCTTCCCAAGACTTTTACTCTCTCTCACCATGAAGAAGACCATTTCCAAGGTTTCCAAGATCTTCAACGGCAGTAAGAAATCCAAGGAGGACGAGAATGTTTCCTCCATCACTCCTGCGCAAATGGGGGAGATGAGGGGAGTCATTCCTCCTGATTATGGCGTCCAGGAAGCCACGGGTACTACTTTGGAGCGCAATCCTAACATCTCCCGCCGGTTGGTTGTCCACTACGACTCGGTTAGGATGGGATGTCGCTTTTCTCTCCATCCCCTTTTGATTGAAATCTGCAACCGCTACGCCATCCCTCCCGGCCAGATTTCCTCGAACTCCCACGAGAGTCTCTTTGGCTTCTTGGCGCGGTGTCACAAGAGAGGCATCCAACCCACTCTGAAGCTCTTCCTCTCTTTCTTCCGTCCACACAAGTACGACAGTGAGTTGGGCCGGGGGTACGTGAGTTTCACGGCCCGGACCGATATGCAGTTTTTGGATAGCCCCGTTGACAAACTTGATGACTGGTTCCGCCGCTTCTTCGTGGTGGTAGTCCCGGAGAACCTCCCCTTCCCCAATGTGTGGCGCAAGAAGGAAGACAAATTTCTTTCTCACACTTTCCCCCCTCGTGATTCGGAGCTTGATGGGGTCTACCGTCTTCTCCTTAAGAACGGTCATCCGGTTCCCCGAGCGCTCCTCTTCAAGGATTCGTACTTCTGGGGCCTCGGATATTGGGTGTCTCCTGATATTCCTTCTCAAGAGCCGTCGGGAAACACCACCTCTTCTTGGGTTCCTCCTTTGAGGAGCACTCGACTTCGCCGGGGATCGCGGCGGTCTTCTCGAAGGGATCCTTCCCCAGAGGTGGACACCGAGGGCGAAGAAGCAGGGTCCGCGAATGGCGCCCTATCTCTGGCGCTTGTCGACCAACCTCCCCTTTCAGAAGAGGTGGTGGTTGAGGACGTCTCCGAAGATGATGGCCTTTACGACTTCCCTCTGGGGACCCTGAGGGAATTCGGCCTTATCCCCGGCGTTCCTCACACTCCTCTCTTTGGCAGGGGAACTTCTTCTTCGGCTTAGCCCATGGGTCCACTAGGTTTCCACCCCCAAACCAGCAGGACCCTTCCGACTGGGCGCGCCACTGGTTTGCAAGGGTCCCTTGAGCCGCCTCACGTTCAGGTGGCCGGGATTGGGATTCCGTGCAGCACTGAATCTCCTTGGGAATATCCCCCCTCCTCCGGCTGTGGGGGGGACGAAGCAATTTCCCAGCCCCAAACGTCCAATATCCTCAATTTTGCAAATTCTACGGCAGAGAATATTTTTGGGACACCCTTTGGTCATGGCGACGTTCCTCTCCCCGGAGCAAACATCCATCAGTCTTTTTTGGAGACGGGGGAATTAATTCGGTCCTCCAGTTTTGAGAAGGCTACTGTCCCATCCTCCATCCGTCCCACTGCCATCCCCGGTCCATCAATTCAGGAGACCGGGTCTTCCTCTTCTTCTCATGTCCGCCACAAGAGGGGCTGGAACTCCACCCCTCTCCCCGGTTCTCTGGTGTCCGCCGGTCCTCCCATGGGGACCGCCGATGATGAGTTTCTCATTGGGCAAGGGAGTCAGCCCTTTCCCTATGCCCGGGAGGCCTATCAGTTCACAGGGTACACGTCCTGGGTAGAACGGGACTTCAACAACAAGCTTCTAGAAATACAACAGCTCAAGAGGGACCATCCTGACGTGATTCACAGCCCGGCCTGGCCATTTATGCATGAGGAGTGTACTCGTATGGTAAGTGTCCTTTCTCTCCTTCATTCTAAGTATTTCACTTACTTCTTTATGCTCTTTAGGACTGCTAACTTTTACTGCCTTCCTCTTTTGACAGGCCGATTATGTTGCCACTTCCTCTGCTCAGCGCCATTGCTGCTTTATCAAAGGAGCTGAGGGATTTCAAATCTCGGCACTCTATTTGCGTTGAGCGTCCAGAATATGACCGGGCTTTGTCCGAGAACGATCAGCTCCACTCGGACCGTGAGCGGCTTGCGGCCAAGGTCGGGCAATGTGATCTAAACCGGATTCACGATCTCAAGGAGATAGAATTCCTGAGGAGGGACTTGGAGCGGCAGGTCAGAGAGCGTGAATTGCAAGTTCGAGAGGAGGCCGAACTTCACCGAAAGAGATCAGAGGAGGAGCTGGAGCGAACGTGGCATCGTCGATCTGAGGAGGAAGCGAGGAAGGCGGCGGAAGAGGTCGAGCAGAGGTGGCGCCTCCAACATGAAGAAACGGAACGCCAACTTTCTCAACAGGTCGACGAGCTAAACCTAACCCTTATGGAGGAGAGGCGTTCAGCTCGGAGTTCCCTAGATGAGGCCCGCCGCTCGCTCGAGAACAAGCGTCTTACATATGAGGGACATATGGCTCGGATGGAGGCCGATCGCATTTCAGACTATGGCCGGGGTTTCTATCGTGGAGGTTTGGACGTCCAAGAAAAATTTTATCGTGGACTGGAGCCTTACTCTGATGGACTAGATCCTTAGCTGAAGTTTCCAGGCATCCCAGGACCCATGGGACCAGAGCCTTCTTTCCTCCGTTCTTCTCCCTCGCCCTGAATTCTCAAGTCACTATTGTAGTTTGTTTAGGAACGGTCCTCATGTGCTCTTGTATTGATTTTGTCACTTCTTTGTAAGGATCGGTCCTCTTTGTATGCCTCCCTTCTGACTGTATTTCTCATTGTGGGGAATCGGTCCCCCTTTATTTTTTTTTAAATATCTCATGGACCGGAGTAATTGATGATGAATGGAAAATTTCTTCTTCATATTAAGCACAGCACAATCCCTTCTCTTTGAACAAAAGGAAAAGAGAAATCTTTAAAAGTGAGGCTTGAAAAATTATGGGAAGACGGAACCTTGAACAGATAGCTTAGCTTTTACTGGTAGAATTTTTTGAGATGCTCCACATTCCAATAATTGTCCAATGCCTTCCCTTCCGGTGTAGCCAACTGATAGGTGCCTGTACGCACCACCTTCTCCACACGATATGGTTCTTCCCAATTCTGGGCTAATTTTCCTCCTTTAGTGGGCTGACTTTTCTCCCTTTTACGTAGGACCCAATCTCTGACTTCAAACGTCTGAACTACAGCTTTTTTGTCGTGATACCTCTTGGATTGCCGTTGGTACTCCTCCGCCTTCATTGCCGCGTCGTCCCTCCTTTCTTGAGTGAAATGGGAGTCCACTTCCATCAATTGCTCATTGAGGCTTGGAGTGTACGCTTCCACCCTTGTGCTAGGGACCAAGACCTCGGTAGGTACCTTTGCCTCAAAGCCATAAGCCAAGGCGAAGGGAGTCTCTCCCGTGGCTCTCCTTGGAGTAGTCCTATGGGCCCATAACACATAGGACAGCTCTTCTACCCAGGACGTGCCCAACTCGTGCAGTCTCTTCTTGATGCCGTCCACAATCGTCCTGTTGGCGTTTTCTACTTGCCCATTGCATTGCGGGTAAGCTACGGCGGCCCGACTGAGTTTAATTTTCCAGGCATAACAGAATTCCTTGAAACTTGTGCTGGCAAATTGGGTGCCATTATCCGTTATGATTTGCTCAGGAACACCGAATCTGCACAACAAATTTTTCCACATGAACTTACGGCAATTCTCTTTCGTGATCTTCACAAGGGCCTCTGCTTCGACCCACTTGGTAAAGTAATCTATCGCCACAATGGCAAATTTCTTCCTTCCAGCCCCTTGGACGAAAGGACCCACCAAGTCCAACCCCCATCTAGCAAAAGGGATGGCCGTAGTGACAGGGGTGTAAAAAGTGGATGGGCGCCCGGGGATTGGTGCAAATGCTTGGCAAGTTGGGCATTTCCTCACCAATTCCAGTGCATCCTTCTTCAAAGTGGGCCAGTAGAACCCCTGGAGTATCACCTTTCTCGCTAGAGTAAGGGCACCTTGATGGGCAGAACAGACTCCTTGGTGTACTTCTTCCAATATTCTTCTTGCTTCTCTCTCACTCAAGCATTTGAGCATCGGCCCTCCCAAGGTCTTTTTATACAATTTTGCTCCATCCAATTGATATTTGGGAGCCATTAATTGAACTCTGCGGGCCTCCTTGGGGTCAATAGGGAGCTCTCCCTTTTCAAGGTACGTGATCAGGGGGCTCATCCAAGTTGTACCTGGACCGGATATCTCAAGGACAGGGACCGCCTCTTCCCAAACAGGACAGATCCTCTCGTGCTGCCTTACCATACCCTCCATCTGAATGAATCTCCCATAATTCCTTTTTTCTCTCCTGGCCGGTCCCATCCTCTTCTGGCTTCCCTCTTGCTGTGCACTCCACCATAAAATCGGCAATGACCTGGCCCTTCTTGCTAGAACGGGGCTGGTAAGAAATATCATATTGAGAGAGAACCATGGCCCACTTAATGACCGTTCCTGAAGAAGACGGGTCCCTCAAAACTGCTCCCAAAGGCTGGTCCGTCATGATCCTCACTGGGTGAGCTTGGAAATAGGGAGTCAACCTCTTGACCGTCACCACCACAGCCAAAACACATTTTTCCAAGGGAGTGTACCTTGTTTCCGGTCCTCTTAAGGCCCTGCTTGTGTAATAAACTGGCTTTTGGACTCCTTCTTCTTCCCTTAGGAGGACCGAACTCACCGCCAAGTGGGCCACTCCCAAATACAAGAAAAGGACATCCCCTGCTAATGGCTTGGAGAGGACCGGTGGAGAGCTCAAGTATGCCTTCAAGTGTTCAAAGGCTTCCTGGCATTCTGCGGTCCATTGGAAATTTCCCCCTCCCTTTAAAATTGTGAAAAAGGGCAGGGACCGCTCCGCGGACCGCGCCAGGAACCTTCCCAGGGCCGCTATCCTTCCTGCTAATCTCTGGACCTCCCTCAAACTTGTTGGTGGTTCCATGTCTTGGATGACCCTCAACTTGTCCGGATTGACTTCAATCCCCTTCTTGCTTACCATGTACCCAAGGAACTTTCCTCCCTGAACCCCAAAGGCACATTTTTTGGGGTTCAATATCAAATTATGCTTCCTCATGATGCTGAAGCATTTCTCCAAGTGCTGAGGATGGTCCGCTGCTTGCTTGCTTTTGATCAGCAGGTCATCCACATAAGCCTCCATTATCTGTCCCAGGACCTCCTTGAATAATAAAGAGATCATTCTCGTAAATGTGGCCCTCGTATTACACAGCCCAAAAGGCATGACCACGTAACAATATACTCCTTCAGGGGTGATAAAGGCTGTGGATTCCGCATCATATTTGTGCATGAAAATTTGATGGTATCCTCGGAAGGCGTCCATAAAACTCAATAGTTCATGGCCCGCCGTTTCATCTACCAGTTGATCTACTCTTGGTAGGGGAAAGGGGTCCATAGGACATGCCTTATTGAGGTCAGTGAAGTCCACACACATGCGAAAGGTGTCCCCTTTTGGTGCCAGCACCACATTGGCGAGCCATTTGGGATATTGGACCTCCCTAATGTGGCCGGCCTCCAAAAGGGTTTTCACCTCCTTCCTCACAAATTCTTTTCTGTCCGTGGACAGATATCTTTTCTTCTGCTTNTCTTTGTGCATGAAAATTTGATGGTATCCTCGGAAGGCGTCCATAAAACTCAATAGTTCATGGCCCGCCGTTTCATCTACCAGTTGATCTACTCTTGGTAGGGGAAAGGGGTCCATAGGACATGCCTTATTGAGGTCAGTGAAGTCCACACACATGCGAAAGGTGTCCCCTTTTGGTGCCAGCACCACATTGGCGAGCCATTTGGGATATTGGACCTCCCTAATGTGGCCGGCCTCCAAAAGGGTTTTCACCTCCTTCCTCACAAATTCTTTTCTGTCCGTGGACAGATATCTTTTCTTCTGCTTAACTGGGAGGGAGTCCATCTTGATGTTCAACTTATGGCAAATGACTGAGGGATCGACTCCGGGCATATCCTTGGATTCCCATGCGAAGAGGACCGAGTTTTCTCTTAATACTCGGATAATCTCTTCACGGGTATCCTCCTCTAGCCCTAAACCGATCCTCACAACCTTTTCTTGATCCCCCTCCGGGAATAGCACCACTTCCTCCATTTCCACAGCTGGCTTTGGCCTCTCCCGGTCTTCCTCTTTCCTTTCTTTATGTTCCAAAACATGCCCGATGGTTTGGATGTTGAGGTTTTCCTTGTCTATCTTCTTACAGGCGCTTAGATAGGCCTTCTTGGCCGCGGGCTGATCACCAAGGACCCTCCCAACACCTTCGGGAGTCCTAAACTTGAGGCACAGGTGCTCAAGGGTTAGTGCACCTCCCAAGTCCTCTAGCCCAGGCCTCCCTAAGATGGCATTGTGAGCGCATTTGATGTCGACCACTACAAAATCCATCCTCATATGCCTCACCTTAGGATGTTCGCCTATGATGATGTCCAATTTAATGGACCCTTCCGGTTCAATTATATCTCCAGTGAAGCCGGACAAGGGCATGTTAAGCTTTGTGAGATCTTCCTTCCTGATTCCCAATTGCTGGGCCGCCTCCCAGTACAACACATTGACACTGCTTCCAGTGTCCACCAATATTCTTTTAACAAAAAATTTGTGAATAGCCATAGAAATTACCAGGGGGGTCCGATGAGGACTAAAAATGAGTGGTAAATCCTCGTCCGAGAAGACAATGGGCTCCCTCCTTCCTTTCTTGGCCGCTTGGCCTATGTCAATGGATCCCACATACAGCTTGCGAGCCCATTCCTTCCTCTCCTTGCTTGTGACTCCCGTTTCTGGACCGCCAAAGATGACTCCTACTTGGGGAAATTCTTCCGGGTTCTCCTGGACTTGTTGTTGAGGTTAGGCGTCCCTACGCCAAACATTACCTCCTTGGTTCGGCTCCCGATTAGCATTCGGTTCCTTGTCCTTCATCTCTCCTTCCATCTTTTTGAGGAAATGGCATTCTTCAGTGGCGTGTCCAGGCCTTCTATGGAAGTTGCAATATTTTTCTGGGTCATAGGGCCACTGCCTTCTTTTTTGGTCTCCACGTTTCCTCTTCTGCCCACCTTCCTCCTTGCTCTTAATTTCCGCCACTGGTGCAGCCAGTGACTTGAGGGTAGGGATGGAGAGAGTGGCCGCCTTGGTCTTTTCTCCTTTCTTTTCTTTGTCTGGGCCTTTATGCAAGGCTCCCTCGCTCTTTCCTTTCAGGCGATCCGACTCTTCCGTGGCACAGAACTTGTTAACCCTAGCCATCATAGCCTTGTAAGAAGTAGGGGTATCGTAATCTAACTTCCTGAATAATTCCCCCGACCTGAGAACATTCATGAACAGAGCAATGGAAGTCTTATCGTCCATAGGCTCCACCTCATTGATTGTTTCATTCCATCTTTGTACCAATTCACTGTTGGTCTCTCCCTCTTTTTGCTTTAGGGAGAAAAGATGGGTGAAGTGCTTCTTTGGCTGGAACCTTCCTCCATAGGCGTTGAGGAAAAGTTGAGAAAGATCTTTGAAGCAATCAATGGTCCCATTAGAAAGAGTGAGGAACCATTTTACGGCCGGCCCTTCCAAGGTTCCTACGAAGAGGCGACATTGGATCTTGTCCTCCACGGCGTGCATCAACATGTGAGTTTGGTACGCAGCCAAGTGATCATTGGGATCGGTGACTCCCTTATAACGGATTTCAGGGGCTTTCATGCCCCTGGGCAGTTGAGCTTTCATTACTCTGGTAGTAAAGGGAGAAATTATCTCTACTGTGGGTCCGAAAGACCCGTCCTTGTCAACCTGCCTCTTTAGTTCCTCCATTTCTTTTCTCAATTTGAGGATGTCTCCGGCATCTTCATTGTTGTGCCCCCCAGAATTTTCTCCAGATTCCTCAGTTCTGGGTCCCAACCTTTGGGACGCATTTTTGCGCATCCTCTTATGTACTGAAATGCGCCCTTGACTTTCCACCTCCTCATCCTCTCCTTGACCTGTTTCTCTCCCGGTCCCTTGGGACCTGGCCTCTCCTTCATTGTTGAGCCACCCAATCAACTTTCGGACTATGGGGGAGTTGGCGTCGAATTTTTCTGTTGCTGCCTGGGAATCCTTTGGATGAGAACTCTTAGGGGCTTTAGAGTGGAAACTGCGTTCACAAGATTTGTCTTGTGTTTCACGCCTGGATTGGGAGAGAGTTATTTGGTGTCTAAGATCCTCAGATGAAAGCTTCTCTTTCCCTTCCAAGTTGGTTCGCGCCTTAGCAGCAATTTTGTTCCTCTTGGACCGATTTTTGCCCATGGTGACAAGTGGAAACCTTCTCTTGATGAAAAAGGTGGACCAACGGGAGATAGCGGCCCCTGAGCAAGAAATCGGTCCTCCTGTATGACCGGCTGGTAAATGCGGTCCTCTGTGGAAGATCGGTCCTCCTTTCACTCTCTTTTTTTTTTGAACAGTGGACCGACTAAAAGGAGGAGTCATTCTGGGTGGACCGCGAACTTATCTCCTTCACTTGGAATGGACCGCTAATTCTTCCCAGGTCTAGGAAGAGGTCTTTCCGAGTGAACAAGAGTGAGATAGGCTCGCTATCAACTCCCCAGAAGGTTAGGAAGCTTCAATCGGTCCCACGGTCGGCGCCAGTGATGGATACCCAATATTTTCCCAAGGACTGTAGATCGGCCCAGGTCCAAATATAGGTATCCGGGCCTTATAATATTGAAAGATAATACGAGAATAATAATTAATAGTAATGGAAGCACTGCTCACTGGATAATAACTCAAACCGGCGGTCCTCTCCTTTATTCGGTCCTCTCAGGAACGGAATATGCTTAAGGATTGCCGGAATATCTTTTATTATTTACTCAAGTATTTTCTCTCTTTATTACAAGATATCCCTTCTCCTCTAGTCTCCCTCTCTTTTATAGGCACTTCCCTCCACTATCCCTTTCAATAATGGCAGTGGTCAGGGGGAATGTTCGTGCCAGCCTGCATCTTCTGGGAGGAATGTATCTCCACTTGAGGCCGTCCACTGGAGGACAAACCCTTCCGTCCATCTCTTGCTCCCTGTCCTTCGTCCGTCTCTTTCTCCTCGTCCTTGTCCCTTCAAGTGGAAGGGGGGACTCCCAAACTCCTCATAGGATTCCTCTCTTCGTGGGTAGCTTATCCTTAATGGGTTGGCTTCAGCCCATCCTTAAGCCCCACTTCTCTTCCTTTTCCTATCTTTCTCTACGGACAACCTTCCTTTGACCGGTCCGATAGATTTTACCTGAGCCGGATGCTCCTTTCGATGGACGGGATTCGAATTGGGCCTAGGCCCAATTCGTTAGTATTCTCTCGATGGGCTTGGTTCCCATCAATTATGTTGATATATTTATTTACTTATTTATTTAATTTTAATTTATAATTTTTTTTTACTTTTTATTAATTTTTATTTTTCATTTTATTATTATATTTTTCATTTTTATAATATTTATTTTATTTATTATTACTATTTATTTTTTAATGACATGAAGGAGTAAAAATTGATGGAATAACACAAAGAAGAGTGGAGAGGATGAGAAATGTTCTTATTTGGAGGGATTAATTATTTGATTGGGATGGAAGAGTAGGAATTTGAAGTTTAGGTTTTGAAGTATACCTCCTTCATTTTTTTGAACCAAACAAAGGGAGTTCACTTTCCCTACCTTCATCTCCTCTTCCTACCAACCAAATAGGCCCTAAATTAAGTAATCATTTTTCTTTCGGAAATAATCTTAAAATTAAGCTTCTAGTTCCTTCGTCTCTAATAAACCAACGATTTTTTAAAAAAAATCTGAAAATTTCATTTTTTTTAAATAACTTTATTTACAAATTGACATAGAAATATAAATTACAAATATAAATATTTAAAAATTATATAAAAAATTTTACATGAAAAGTGGTGACATGTTTATTTTATTTTATTCTATCAAATGATCAGTCTACATTAATCAACAAAAGTTATGGATATCTTAAAATTGTAAAGAATAGATTTATGACGAAGGAAGTATGTTTTAATAAAAAACATTGGAGGGTTTATAATGTTCCTTTATCATGTGCATATTTTCTAATTGTATATTTTTTTAAAATTCATGTAGACCTCAAATAATGGTATAAATTAAAGACATAGGTAGCATATATGAAAAAGGATGAGCCCTATTCTCGAAAACTGCCATAGAACTAGTCAGATAGTCACTTGAGAGGAGGTTAGTTAAGCTTTATATTCACTGGCTAGCATGTAAAGAGAGTCTATACTTGTAAAAGTCTCAGGTTTAACAAAATTATCCTCTAATACAGTTATTTGAAATTTAACTCAAGATTTTTAATAATGTGGATAAAGAAGGAAGGGGCTTTTAACAATGTAGGATTCTTTTTTCTCATAGGAGGCAAAGGTAGGAAAAGCTCGTAAAATGCCAAAAACAGTGAAGTTTAGGTAGTTAGCCACCGCCGGATGTTGACAAACTTTTGCGTGGTGCAACGGAACGGGAGGAATATTATTAAGATGTATCCTTACTTTCCCACATTTTTTATTTTTCTCATACTTCATTGGTGTACTCTGATTAACATTTGTTCAATTTTAATTTTTTCAGTCATTCATTTTTAACATTTGACCCATAATTAAATAAAATATATATTGTATATATTATTTAGATAAAATAATATTTAAAAATACTTTATGTAATAAATCTAGCTAAACTATTTTTATAATAACATTTTTTATTTAATTTAGGGTCAAATTTTACTAATTTTGACCTAAAAAAGTAAAAAGTGGATAAAAATACTCTGGGATGGAGGAAGTATATTGTTTTACTCTTAAAAATACGGAGTAAATAAAATGAGTGCAAATTTTATTTTTATACAAATACAAAAAATATAAAATTAATTGAGAGAGCAAAGGAGATAATCAGATGTCTACACGAGCAAATGTGACAATCAATTAACACTTTAAAAAATGTTTCGTATTTTAATAAAATCCCAAAAAGTTAACTAAAGAAGAATTTACTTAAATACAACTAAAATATAATGACTTTTCCAGTGTAGTATTATATATTTTTATTTCTAAATATAGTTCCACTGTTCAATGTCCACTGGTCATATTTTCAAGTAAATGTCCACCGTCACTGGACACTATTCAAACTCAATGTCCACCATCACTGGACATTGTTCCCGTCACTAGACATATTCAAGTACTATTTAGAAAATAAAAAAGTTAAAGTACTTCATTAGAAAATGACATTTGTTTTAGTACTATTTAATGCAAATTTCACTAAATTAAATTGACAATAGTCAAACGGTCTTTCTCAAATTGTGTCTTCTACCAACGTTTTCCAAGACCCAACGTAAATAATTATTTCATGCATTAAAGTTCATATAATGACCATATATGGAGCTAAGAATGAAAATAGAATTTGTCACTATTATTCTAATTTATCAAATCTTTGAAATATCAATTAAAGATGCTGCTCCAAAATGTTAAAAATGAACACAATACTAATTTGATCAAAATTGGGAGTACTTTTTTTCCAAACATGCACAAACAAATTAAAGAAATTGGATAAAGTTGAATTTATGAATGCTCCAAATGCCTGTTCTGGAAGCTAAAATATACTACAGATTTCTTACATTCACAATATTGGCATCTTCATATTAATTAGTCTTCATTCAAAAAAGTAGAAAGAAAAAGAGTTAAAATGTGTTGAAAACCAACCCTACACAAACTAGCATAATAAGGTGTTTGGTCAGAATCCAATGATAAAGCTAAGTAACAATGTTGTACGTAATGAAAACACATAGAATGGATCCCGAGGACCTTTTCCCCTTTGTGAGTATATATATCCACAATTTCGTTTTATATATTCTTGTAACCGAAATGGTTAATTCATAAGAGATGTTCCGCATTATCATATCATACCTCTTGACGAACAATTGATCCAACATTAACATTTCGTCCATAATCCATACCATGTTGGAATATCATGTGGCCCACAAGATTATTTATCTTATTATTGATCAACTACCATAATAATCCATATTATATTATTTGTAATTACTTGATATAATGGACGTAATTACTCTTACCATACCAATTAGGATTTCCCTTTGGATGCATTTAAATAGAGGTCATTAGACAACTAAAGAGATGCTCCGTATTGAACATCGTCACGGCCGAACTTACAACTCTAAAGGGAGTTTCGGCCCCCTCTCTTGTCTCTCTAATTCGTGATCCTCAAGATCACCTGATCCTATTTTTAACGGGAACCTAATTAAGATCATGTAGTCTTCTCTCACTCATTGAATCACGGGTTTACCAGGTATTATGTAGAAAAATAATTGGAAGAGAAAATATTCTATATATTGAATTGGCTTGAAAATACAAAGATCTAGTCCTCTTTATATAGGAAGAGAATAAAGCAAATAAAGAATTTTTTATTTCTACTAAAGCAAGAATTAAGCAAACTAGGAAAGATACTAAACTGAACTCCAAAGAGATTCGATTTCCTTCTTCGATCTGGCTACCTTCTTCTGTCNATAGGGGTTCCACATGCCCAGCTCGGACATCAAAGGATTGAACTAAGGAACGTCATTATTTTCGAACCTTCAAAAATTCAAATAAACATGGAGAACAACATTCTTTTCGAACACCCTAAACGTTAATTTTCCAGTATCGCCCGCAAAGGAAAGAGTTATCTGTCTCTATAGAACAACCCTTTTCGGACAACTTCTTCAAGATTGATGATTGAGATTCCTCGATAGCAACGTTCTTGATTGAAGGAGTTCATGATATTCTTTAATGAGGGAGAACAATCAAAGAAACTCAAAAATTACAATATCCCGTCAGTAGGCATTAAATTGTGTATGCCCACTAGCAGGGGAAGAAGCGTGTTTTAGGTCTCAAGAATTCAAAACTTGTTCTGATACCATGTAGAAAATTATTAGGAGGAGAATATATTCTGTGTATTGAATATGCTTGAGAATACAAAGATCTAGTCCTCTTAATATAAGAAGAGGGTAAAGCAAATAAGAAAATTTATATTCCTACTAAAAGAAGAATTAAGCAAACTAGGAGAGATACTAAATTGACCCCTAGAGAGATTCAGTTTCCTTCTTCGATCCGGCTTCCTTCTTGTGTCGCCAACATATTATTTAATCATTATTCTTTTTTCATTATATGATTGAAAAATCATAGCTCAACATATTATTTAATCATTATTCTTTTTTCATTATATAATCATTTTCGCCAACATATTATTTAATCATTATTCTTTTTTCCTTCTTGAACTTTTACCCAAGGATTTCTCAACTATCCTTTATTGTCCATGCAAGGATTTATACGACTATCTTA